TTTCCCTGATAACTAGGATACAATCTAGTTTGGATTGTCAGTCTGGGAGGCCGCGCAAATTAGCATACCCAATACGTTTAAGAACGCCCTGTTGGAATAGAGGTGTTGCTGTTGTCTCTAGTTTGATTGATGTTGTTGACCGTCGTTGTCGTCGTTGTCGTCGTTGTCGTCGTTGTCGTCGTCGTCAAGGGGATCTAAATATATCCGATGACTAACCACAAGGATCAAGTCACGTGTTGAATTAAATGAATGGTGTCGTCATTTGTTCAATCCCTGTCTTCCCAAAATCCCATAGAAGGTACTTCAATTTCAGAAGAGAAAACGCGGAGGAACGATGTATCTCTTATGTGATGGCCAGCAGTTAGACGGATAGAGTAAATATTCATCCAGAAACGAGATATCGAGAAAAGATAGAAAATAAGGGGTTGAATAAGAAAACTTTCATAGAAAGTATTTTCCACTTCCGTCATTTCGTGGGTGGGAGTTTAAAAATAGGTTCCAGGGCGCTCAGGTGAGCATCGCTTTAGCTTCAACGTAAGGCGAGGCTCACAATAAACCTTTTACTCTTACCTTTGTAGATGGTCTCAAGGAGCATCTTCCGTGGTGCCTAACACTCAACACCGCCTATACAAGAGTCTGTTTCCTATCGTCGCTCGCTTGTCTTCCCTTCACCTTTGACCTCTGGAATAACACCACTGACTGTGAAACGGACGGTTCCACGACGCAATACTACAACCTCGCAACCTCGACCTTTTCATTCCTGCACCACCTCTCTTCACGAATCACAAACCCTTCTTCCCACGACAAATGTGAAAAAGCCACTCTATGGTCTGTCGGCGTCTCTAACCAGTAGGCCTTGCTGAGGGAGAGCTGGCCTCTCCTAGGAAAATAACTGGCTCCTCTCGCATCGCCGTTCATTCGTCTCTTCGCCCCCAATTTCCCCGCCGAGCATGTCCTCAACAGTGGAAGGGTTCAGGAATGAAGCCAATTCGTCCCTCCTGAATCGTCCCGCGAGCTACAACCACCTTCCCAGCCTGAACCGACCGAGCGATCCCGACATCAAACGGACGTTCTCGGAACACAACCTTCCCCTCTCCGCGGAATCAGCAGCAAGGCTGGAGAAGGATAATGTAGCGACGGGCAAAGATATACTACGGCGGTCGTCGCTTCGCTCTTCGGGTGACAAGGCAAAGAGGTCTGGCTTCACACTGCCATCTGAGGAGAACGATGATGCGACCACGAACAAGCCAGAGGTTGTCAACGGCGGGGACAATGCAAAAGCGGACAGTCAACCGCCCAAGGCACGCTCTGTTTCCGGTGCCCTTGCCAATCTTGCACGGAAACCGTGGATGGCCTCCAGATCCCCTTCTCCGTCCTCAAAAGGAGCCAGGCGCAAAGCGGGTCGAACAAGAGATAGTTCCCCGACACGAACAGATACATCTACGTTGAAACCTGGATCCCCATCGAAACCAGCTCGGCATGCTCGAACGCCGTCCGAGTCCCGCCCTGAACTTATGCGAAGGGGATCCGTTTTGTCAAAAAAGTCTTCTCGACCTTTGAATATTCTCACCTCCTCCAAAGGTAAACCTGAGCCGGATAACATTCCGAAGAGCCCTTCTACGCACTCTCTTCGAGGTAGGGCGTCTTTCGAACGATTCACGTCCGCGTTTGGGAACTCGACCTCAGATGTCCCCCCTGTGCCACAGCCCCCGGTAGGCACATTGCAGCCTCCAAGCACCGAAAGTTCACGTAAGAAGGATGAATTGTGGGGTGTTTTTAGGAACCTGGATGCCGATTACCAGAAGTATGTCTCTAACAATGAGGTTCTTGGTGTATACACTAACAAAAGAAAGGTTCCAATCCAAGTCCAGCGCTCTGAAGCCTAATGTTATGCGCTCAACACTTCTACCATTTTTATCACGTTACGCACACCACCCTTCTACCCAAAATCTCCGCCCCGAAGATTTGGATAGACGAATCAACATACTAAACAAGTGGTGGACAGGTTTACTTGAGGTTCTCAGCGGGAGGAATAACCAATCGGTATCAGGTACTGACAGACCGGATTATCTGGAAGCAGTTGTTGGTCTTATGACCAGACAGGAATGGATGATTCCACCCTATTCAAGTTCAACATCCACTGTGAATTTGGCCAACCCGTCAAAACAAGTCGCTACTTCGAGATCCAATACATCCCTAGAGTCTACCGGTTCCGACTTCTTGGTTGAATCCATCTATCACAATATCCGTAATATCTTCGTCCAGAACCTCTTGTCCCAGATGGCTTTCGTGGTGGATAGGATGTCGATGAGACATGCGCCTGCTAGTCTCGTAGCATTCTGCGGGAAAGCCTGCGCTTATGCCTTTTACTTTTGCCCTGGGGTAGCTGATACCCTTGCCCGCCTTTGGAACCCTTCCCCTACCATTCTTCGACGGGTTCTGGCCGAATGTGAAGTACATCGTGGTTCCAACATGAAATCCATATCGGAAAATATCGCATCGAATTTCCCACATCCCATAAGATCCGTAGGTTTTACGTCCCATGCAGCACTAATCCGCTATCTCCGCCTCCCAATCAACCCTCCAATAGGCGCAGCCAACATCCCCTGGAACGGCCCTTGGGTTTCTCGCTGGTCGGGGCGAGACACCGAGCTTTTCTTCGTTTTCACCAAACACTTCCACATCCTTCTTGCCGAATTCCTGCCCTCTGGCCTAGACAAATCGAAGCGAATATGCGCGCCCGGGTTGTTATCGGTACATGCCCAGCTTCTAGTTGTCTTGGAAAACACCCTCTATAAACAGTCTACCCCCCAGCCAGCAGAGAATTCACATGGCGCAACGTCAACTACGTTCGACGACTTCGTAGATGAAGCAGATACCTCAGCCGCGGTATTACCTCTTGGCGCGGCAAACGCTTTGCGCTCGATGTCGGAAAATAGATTGATTATCCTATTAAGAGACCTCTTATCCGAAAACAGCGACGAATCAAGCAGTGTGAGACAGCTATACGCAGAATCGTTCTGTGGGCTCCTTAAAACTGCTGCCCGTAAAACATCGGTTTTCGATCACAATACATGCTTCGTCCTCTGTGATTTCCTGGAGGAAGTAGTAGAAATCATATCCCATTACTGCCTAGTCACTCAACAACAGGATCTCCTCGATTGGAAATTTTGGCTCTCAGTGAGCAAGGAAATGACTCAAAGCCACAATTCCTTGACGACTGTTCGAGTCTTTTCTTTCCTTTTCAATTCTTGGAGTATTATCACTGACACCGAGGAGAGGAGGGAAGGTTTTTGCTTTGGATTACTTTTGCATGAGGATTTTTTCTTCTCATTCTTCAATCATTGGAGCCCTATGGTTCGCTCCTATTTCCACCGACTTTTGTGTTGGAGAGTTGCTCGATATGACGGTGAACCTTCACCCCTTAATCTGTGAGTACCCAGATCTATATCTTTGTCGTTATGTTGAGGAGCCACTGCTAACGTTACTTCTAGGCGCATTTATAATACACTTGCCGCAAGACTTGGAAATATCTGGTCTTATTATCTCACCACGCAGTCACAGGCAGAGAAGGGAATATCTCCAGCGTTATCATCCGCGCCATGTACCCCAGCCCCTGGGCGTCGAATAATAATCATCAAAAACGAGGCCGCCCCCCCTCGCAACAACCTTTTTCTTACATTCGACCGACTTGCGCCTCTAAATTCGACAGTGCAGCAAACCTCATACACCAATCACGGTTCTATGAGGGGTCTTCTTTCAAATGGTGCTTCTTCGGATTCACAACCACCAAAGAAAAGGTGGAATATCCTCAAGACGATGTTCAGTAGTCCTAGTAACCCGAGACCCGGCGAAGTGACACCCCCTGGAAGTAGCTCTGAGGAATCGGAACAGAATCCCCTCGATGATGTCTCGTCGGCAGATAATAACCATGAGAAAGGGGCGGAAGATCAGACGGCACTTGATGACACGCAGAAACCCCGTACACCGCACCAAACCTTCTCCTTCAGGTTCTCCCTCGAGTGGCTTGATCGCCCGCAGTGGCCTACAAAAAACAGACGCCTCTTCCCTCCTCCACTTCCAGTCCCTGCTCAGCTAGTCTTACAGTCACAACGAGCACGCGCAGCAGCGAGTGACCAAGACAAACATGAACCCAACAATTGGAACCCAACAAACGCCACCCCATCTTCCGACCTCCCCAAAGAAAAAATCTGTTCCCCAGAGGAAATATCCCCTCCAGATCTGGTGAACAAATCCCTCGTTGCAAGCAAATATGCTGGTCGCGCACTCGCAGAGTGGGCGATGGTAGTATCCGAGTGCGATAATTTCTTCGAACGACGACGAGACGAAGGCGTTCCTTCGAATCATTTAGTTGAGATACCCAGTTTAGGCGTTGAAAACTTTAGGAATGGCTAGTAAATGCCTATCCATCCATCCACCCCAACCCCCCTCCCCCCCTTGTCCTTCGTCTTCCTTCCTGTTTTTTTGTTTCCATTGTTTTTCTTTCCGGCATTATTTCTTTCGATTCACCCACCCTTATTCTACTTTAGAGACCCATTGGGAGATCAGGTGGTATGGAAAAAGGGTGTACTTACTGTAGGCGAAGAATACGAATAGCTACCACTTCGGTGGTTTCAGCAGCCTGAATTTACATAGCCAAAGGATCAGCTCCTGTTTTTCGTTTGACTCTTCTTTTCTTTTGTATATATGGCTCCCAATACACAAGATGGGGCTCCTCTCTAATTGCCTTCTGGGTGAGGCCTTCCGATGATCCTACTGTGTACGTGCTTAAGTATATCCACCACTCACATGGAAGACAGTGCGACCTGATATAGGGCTCTCTGGTTTTATTTGTCTTTTGTGGTTGGTGCATCTACCTACGGTGTGAACGCTGCTACCTCTCCCGCCTTAAGAAAAAAAATTTTATACCACACCACACCACCAAGCCGCAGAAACTCGCCGACGCCAGAACTATGCGAATATAAAAAAAGATAATTGGACTCGGGTACGGGGAATCGAACCCCGACCTGCTCGGTGAGAGCGAGCTATCCTAACCGTTAGACTATACCCGATTTGGTGGATATTTCTGTCTTTCACAATCACAGCCGAAACAGACTTGCCACTGGCACGACGGCGCGAAAAAAAAAGGGGAAGAAGTTTGTTCGGGGAAAAAAAATAACTGACTCGGGTACGGGGAATCGAACCCCGACCTGCTCGGTGAGAGCGAGCTATCCTAACCGTTAGACTATACCCGACTTGTTAGATATTTACTTCTCAGGTTTAGGTAACTTTAACTTCAGACATACCCATTAAGAGGAAGACGATTGACTGAGCTATCCTTATCTTTATCTATTGCCACAGTATTGACTGTGTTTGAGAGCCGTTTCAGTGTTGGAGATGTAACATGCAGGGCTCGTGATAGGTGATCATAAGGCATAAGCTCTTATTGCCAATATTTCCACATCCTGCAGATTGCTTGACGAACAATCCTCCTCATTATTACATACAACCCTCCACATCTCAACCGCCATCGAACGATTTCAATCCCAACCTCATTGTCTTTAGCGACCTTTCAGGTTAGTCCTGGCCTTGTCAGCTCTGCCTGGCTAGGATCCTCAAGGTAAGCTATTCGTGTTCTTACTCGATGCATCCTTTTGCCACTGGTGCCCCGTCTGTTGTCTCTCACAGCGAAGCGATGAGCTGTACGGATATCCTCCACGTCTGACAGGCGTTTGTATGACATTGCGGACGCCCTGATGCTTTGGGCAGCAACATTTATACTTTGTCTCGTGGCTTGTTAGTCCGACAGTATTGCCTGGGCTTCCGTCTACTTCTCAGAAGTATTGTCTACTCGAGAGTTGAAGAACCCAATTGAAGGTTGTACGTCGGACTGGCAAGAAGAACCCTATATAACAAAGAAACTCGGAGGAGCATAGAAGGAGGAGACAAATATTGAGGAGAGCTCTCAATCGCAACGTTGTTTTGGGGACTATTTGAAGCTCAGGACTCTTGCTGTGGCTCGAGCTGACGAGGAACTAATCATTAGCAACCCCCTTACTTCTCAGCACTCGGAATTCCCCTCTTCGTACGGTTCAGCTCCCAGAGATGCCGTCAACGGTCCCTGTCGTGCCTCCCCGACCCTCCCGGTCTCCTCGCCCCGGGCTCTCCGCACCGAGTTCCGATGCGCCCAAAATCCCACCCCGTCCCTCGAACCGACGCCTCGAGCGATCAACATCTCCGGGACGGGATAGCTTTGCCCCTTCGCCATTGAACGAAATTCCAGGCTCCGCCGCGCGCCCACAGTCACGGAATGACCCAAGCTCGAATCGGCCATCACGTCCCTCCAGCGTTACCCTACCTTCGCTCGGCCAGGAAGGAATGGAATACGAGGATATAAATGTGCAGGATACATTGGATAACTCGAGTGAGGTTCAAGAACCTCCCGTTGAGCAGAAGAGGGATATTGGGAGTGACGTGAAGCTTCATGCTCCGAGGCCATCATTACCTAGCTCAACCGCAAGAGCGAAGGTCCAGGCTGTGACGCATACGAATTCGCAGCAAGCTGCAGCTGCGGGCTTTGGTAAAGCGGTGTCTCCGGGTTACGAGCAATCTGATTTTGGGAACCGTGCAGATTCGCGTACTGCGTCATCGACTGCACCGTCAATTGAGCGCAGGAGTTCCGTACAGCATGGAGATGAGCACGGTATCCCGGAAATTGGTCAACAAGTACCGATGTACCCGAATGCTGGCGATGTGCAGGCCCCATCTGTACCCCCTCACCCTTCTACTGCCTCTTCTACAAGACCAGGCCGCGGGCATCGCCGAACAGGTAGTGGGCGTGATAGCTCTCAACCTCCAGGCAGTTATGGTCTCCATGGCCATGGCGTACAGTCTAATGATAGATTCGAAAAGGCTTGGTACGACAAGCATCCGGATGAGCTGGCTCGCGAAGAACAAGGGCAGTACGGACCAGGTCTTTCTGGTGGACGACCGGAATCTGCTCTAAGCAGTGATGAGTTGAATAGAATTGTCAGAGACTCTGCTAGCAGAGGGTCAGGACTCGGTGAGCACAGAAAACAACCCTGTAAAAAAAAAGTTCGACCTATGTCTAATCGTCAATATAGGGACTTCATCTACGGCAGCTGCGACCCCTGAAGAGGAGTTGGGATATATTGCTTCCGAGGAATTTACATCACGTCTAACTTCCCCACGGCCTACGAGCCGCCATATTGAGAACACACTGCCCAAGGATTCACAAGCCGCAGTTGAGTCACCATTGCGCCAATCAAGCTTTCCTGCTACAGAACCCCCTTCGGCTGAAGATGAACAATTGAAGGAAACTTCAGGGGTGTGGAATGAGGCCGCGGAGACGGAAGGTGTGATTCATATTGATGAACCGTATCATCACCAGCACCATCCTGATGGTTTTGCTCCAGCGATTGAGGACCGTGGTCAACATGGTGCCCATGCAAGCATTCACGAACGTGAAGATGATGTGTCAGTATTGGCTTCGGATGAAGTGGAACCTAACGCTGAGCACATGCACCCCGCGATATCCCCAACGTTTGAGGGGAAGGAAAGTGGCTATTTTGGGAACGAGCAGGAAGTTTCAAGGAGTGCGACTAGTAGCAAACTTAGTAACAGACCGACGAGGGAAAGGTTCAATTCTCGCGGTGAAGAAGGCGAGGCAGTGCACACCCCGCTAGATGATGTCGAAGAGTATGAACCACTCTTCCCGGAGGACGAAGGGAAAGAGGGTCAACAGATGTCGGCTGCAGATCGGTTTAAGCAGCGTCCAGGACATATTGAACGCAGATTCCCAAGCCAGGACGTCTGGGAAGACACGCCTAACAGTTTACAACTACATACCACCGTTTCAACGCCAGATGTACCAAGTCGAGAGGACGTGCAAGGCTCAGTTAGTGCCTTTGAGAGCCCAGATCAGGAAGCCGCTCGAAAGGAGGGCACTGAGAAAGCGGATACTGAGAAGCTAGCCTCTCAGATCCAGGATTCTAAAAGCCATTTGGAGGACGAGACAGCTGAGAGACCGGACACGAAACATCGATTCCCAAGCAAAGACGTTTGGGAAGACGCTCCAGAGAGCCTCCAGCTCGTTACAACGGTTCAAACCCCTGAGCCTGAAGACACAGCAAGCCCAGCTGAGGTGCCTTCCAAGCCTGCAGTCCCACCGCGACCTGATATTACCAAAGCTCCGCCAATCCCTTCGCGTCCGCAGAAGCGTGTGCTTAAGGCCCCTCCTTTCGATAGCCAGACCAAACCGCCACTACAGCCTACCCCATCAGGTGCTTCACAGAATGTTTCCCCCACGGAATCAAGGAAGCCAGTTCTACCTGATCGACCGAAACCCCAAATACCTGCACGCCCGGCAAGGCCCGCCCGAGACTCCTCAGAAAGCCTCTCCAAGGTTAACTCCCGCGGCTCCGCTGAGAGTGGTGACGCATCTGAGAATGCTCCTGCAGCCCCTTCTACGAAGGCGAAGCCTGTAGTCCCATCAAAGCCCGGTGGATCTAAGATTGCCGCGCTCAAAGCTGGCTTCCTTTCTGATCTAGACAAGCGCCTTCAGCTTGGACCAAAACCACCTGAGAAGAAAGAGGAGCCCAAAGCCCCGGCTGAAAAGGGTCCTTTGAGTGATGCTCGGAAGGGTAGGGCTCGTGGTCCAGCCAGGAGGAAGCCTGCAGTGGCTGCTACTCCCCAAAAGGTGGAATCTCCACCACCTGCAAAACAGGTAACTCCTGAGATCAAGATTACTGGCTCTTGGAACGTTTGGCAGATCAACGAGGATGGAGCTGTTGTTGTGGGTGAGAACGAACTTGTGGAGAAGTCACCCTCATCTGAGCCTTCGAGCTCTGCAGAACCACCCATTAAGAAGACGGCAAGCGATATTGTTGAGTCTACGTCGCCTGAAGCAGATGAAGATAAGGCCTCTCCCGCAACTGATTCGCCCACAAACGAATCTCCTACGGACGAATCGCCAAATGAGGAGGCTGATAAGCCTTCGCCTTTACCATCTGCAGTTGACAACCCTCTCCCGTCAAATGAAGCTACAAAGGAACCAGATGAGGACAAGGCGGAGACTGAGGAAGAGCCACGACACCCAGAGACGGCATCACATGACACTGCCGCTCCAGGGAAGAAACCCTCGCCCTTCCCAAGCACGTCTCAGGAGGATATGGCATTAGAAGACGAGGAGAGCGTCTCGGATAAGGACCTTGAGCAAATGTCTGCATCCGCTGATGGGAAGAGAAGTTCCGATGGGACTCTGAAATTTGATCAGGCGAGCTAGTCTTAGACCGGCGCCATGTAGTTTGCGTAAACTTTACTCATCTTGTTGGAGGTAAGGGTCTTCTCGTTTTGGGTGGTGATGATGGTGCGTGTGATACGATAGCGAGAGAGTTTGTTTATTTTATGACATTGTTTTCTGCCTTTTCGTGGACCTGTATCAAGTAGGGGGGTGTATTCTTATTCCATAACTGTGGTTATATATTTTTATTCTATGATCTGATCCCCGAACTGCACGGCGGTTGGTAGTGCTCAATCCCCTACACCCAGATTGATGATATATTAATGGCTCCGTCCCATGCCACATGCTGCCCCTATTATTGCAAGTCTAGATTTTATTTCACAACTTATTATTAACACGAGGTTGTTTACCATGAACCTAATAAAAGTCTACCTGGCAAATAGTAAGTCATCCTCGTATGCTTCTTCGTACGGGATCGATTCCCCAAACCCAGAGGGGGCCCTCCCCCAAAAAGTAACTTGGCTCTGATCCCCAGCACTCCACCACCCCTTAGCACCCGTACACCAAGTCTCTTTCCAACTTTGCGCTCTCCTATAGGCTTGCTCTCGCTTTACGTCATCGGGACTGCGATCGAGAGAGGGAGGGACCCAATCTCCCTGGAAGAACCCCCAATCTACAAGCCGGGCATAATCCCACATGATATATCCTGAACGGCGAAGTTCCCGCGTCCTGGGATTATAGCCGAAGGATACGCTATATTCCGAAGCGAAAGTCCACCTCCACGCTTCAGCCGGGCCATTGTCGAGATCC